AAACCAGTTGTTACTCTTTGGATCATGACAGAATTTGGCCATGACCATGCTCTTAACTTATAGTTAAGTATTATGACTCTTAGAATGGCCCATTTTGATGCTAGAGTAGCTCACAGCTTGCCCTGGGCCCAACCAGTCCCTCGTTGGAACCCTACTTCTAGGGTGCTAGGAATCAGGCCAACTGAAGCTTAAGTCGAGAGAACAGATGCCCAGGAGTGAAGTATTATTCGGAGTTAATTAACTCCCAAGTTCCAAAAGCCTAGCATTAACTGTCTTCCTGTGTCTATACAAAAAGGACCTGCTCTAAAGTAACTATGCAAAGGACGTAAGGTGAAGAGAAAAGCAATATTTCACTTATGAATACAAATCCAGTGTCCTAGAAGGATCTGACCTTACAAGTTAACATAGTCTGATTAGGGGATATAGGCGATTGACCGGTTGGGAAAGCAGAGCACAAAGAAAGAGGTTACAGAAAAACACAGAGGAATGGGAGTGCCTTGGGAGCACTGTGATGGTCTTACTCAGTAAACCTAAGCTCCTTGTGGCAGAGGAGAAAGCACAAACCAGTGTTACCCTAGACTAAACTATACATGAAAATGCAAGGGACTCAGCAAAATGATGCTGAAAAAGAACAAGTTGGAGATGTTTTCTTTCTAATTTCAAATACAAAGCATAAGCAGATAATGAATAAAAATAATCTAAAATAGGTTTGCATAACTTATTTCTAATAAAGATGCAAAAGCAAATGAATAAGGAAATAACTGACTTTCAACAAATGGTTCTGGAATAACTGGATATATATTTGAAACAGACGAACCTAAACCTTTACCTCAGACCATATACAAAAGTTTTCTTTGATGGATAACATAAGGGAGCCAGTACTAGAAAATTCATCTGGTTTCCTTAAAGTCTCTCACCCTCCCCACTTTGACCTTTGCCCTGTTTCTTAACATAAATGGAAAGAAGTTGTGTGCTTGATGTTAAATCAGGAGCCAGTCACAGGAGAATGACAAAGAACAATGTCCAGGTCCTCTCAGAAAGGCCTCTAGAGACTGTCATGCAGGTCCTGGAGGCAGAGATTGTGCAAAGGTGTTACCTCACCGTATTTCCCAGAAGCTAACCACCAGCCCCCAAGGACGCATCAAATCACTGACGACAGCTGAACCACCTCGTGACTGGACCACTCTTCACTCCATTATCCGCCTACCTTTATTTTAAAAACTTAACTCACTTTCACAACTATTCCTACATAAATCTCAACCCCCAACCTGAGAGTAAGAGGCTTTTGGGGGAGGTTTGGGAGGGGTGGTAAGGAACAAGTCCCCCATGTTCTAAGGCTGCTAACACCTGAATAAAATCTGTTTTTCTAATACCAGCCCTTGTCCCCTGAGTACTGACTTTCGAGCAGTGAGCAACTGGATCTTGAATTTAGTAACTGATCTTACAATGAAATGTGGAAGCTAAAAACGCTAAAAACTAGAAGGAAATATAGAAGTGTTTTATGGTTTGGGTTTCTATTTTTTGGTGTGTGTGTGTGGGGGGGGAGCCCCTGGGCCATACTTGGCTATTCCCAGGGTTTACTCCTGGTTCTATGCTCTGGAATCTCTCCTGATGGTGCTCTGGGAAAAATATGTGGTATTGGAGTATTGGTTATTGAAATGGGGCTGGTAGCATGTAAGGGAGACACCATGGCCCCTGTACCATCTCTCCTAACCCTGGAGGAATATTTTGTGGCCTTGATGTAGACAAAGATTAGATAGGCTTTTTGTACTTTTGTTAAGAAAAGAAAGAATAGGTTAATGAAATGGCCTCCATCAATTTTTTTTTAAACAACTACTGTTCATTAAACATTGCAAAGAAAATGCAAAGACAAGCCATGGAAGAAAATTTTGTTTCATTTTATTTTTGTTTTTGGGTCACATCCAGCAACACTCAGGACTTACTACTGGCTCTGTGCTCAGGAATCATTCCTGGCAGGGATCAGGGACCATCTAGGATGTCAGAGATAAAACCTGGGTTGGTCACATGAAAGGTAAGTGCCTTACCCGCTGTACTTTCTCTGGCCAAGAAGAAAATATTTTATTTTATTATTTTTTTTAGGTTATTGATTTTTTTTATTAGTGAAACCCCATGAGGTACAGTTATAGACTTATAAATTTTTGTGCTTGGGTTTCAGTTATACAATGATCAAGCACCCATCCCTCCACCAGTGCCCATCCTCCACCACCACAGGTCCCAGCATCCCTCCCACCCTCCATCCCCCCCAACCCACCCTGCCTCTGTGGCAGGGCATTCCCCCTTGTTCTCTCTCTCTTCTTTTGGGTACTGTGTTTTGCAAGAGAGGCATTGAGTGGCAATCACGTTTGGTCTATAGACTACTTTTAGCATGCTTCTCCCACCCTGGGAGGGTCCTCACAACACCCTTTATTTGGTGCTCTCTTCTCTATCTGAGCTTCCTTTTCACCTAGCACGTGTGACTGGCCTTCCAGTCATGGAGCAAAATTCCTGGTACTAATCTCAGCCATTCCTGGGTGTTAGTCTCCCTTTTTGTTGCTTTATGTTCCCCAGATGAATGCAATCTTTCTGTGTCTATCCTGCTCTTTCTGACTCATTTCGCTTAACATGATACTTTCCATGTAGTACCACTTGTATGTAAATTTCATAACTTCATCTTTTCTAACAGCTACATAGTACTCCATTGTGTAAATGTACCAAAGTAGAAGAAAATATTTTAAATGCATGTTTCTATTGAAGGACTGATATCTAAAATACATTTAAAAAATCCTATAACTCAATATACAGAATTTATATAATTCAATTTAAAATGAACAAAATATGTGAACAGATGTTTCATAAAAGTATATTGTATATAAATGTCTGACAGACACATTTTTTTCTTTTTGGGTCGCACCCAGCGATGCACAAAGGTTCCTCCTGGCTCATGCACTCAGGAAATACTCTTGGCGGTGCTCAGGGGACCATACAGGATGCTGGAAATCAAACCCAGGTCGGCTGCGTGCAAGGCAAATGCCCTGCCCACTGTGCTATCACTCCAGCCCCAACATACTCTTTGTTATTAGACACCCTCAAAGATCAAATTGTACAAAAATCACAATGAGGGGCCAGAGAGGCAGTACAGTGAGTAAAATGCATGCCTTGCATGCAGTCAACCCTGATTTTGATTCCTGACACCCAACCACAGTTGATCCTTTGAGCAGTGCCAGGAGTGACCCTTAAGCGCAGAGCTTAGAAGTAGCCCCTGAGCTCTGCCAGGAGGTAGCCCCCAAGTAAATAAACAAACAAACAAAAATTACAAGGAGTTAGTAACTACTTGTTACTGGTTTTGGCATATCGAATACACAACGGATAGATTGTCAGGCTCTTCCGTGCGGGCGGAATACTCTCGGTAGCTTGCCAGTCTTTCCGAGAGGGATAGAGGCTCTTGGGGCGACCTCTAATCGCCCTTGTAGGTGTTACCATATTTGAACCCTATCAAATATGGTACAACAATTCCGGAAGATGGGTATTTAGTGTAACTACAACTGGTCTCATTCACCAGTTAAGTGATTAAGTAACTACTTGATACATGACTACTTCTATAGCTAAAATTAAAATGATTTATAATAACATTGACAAAGATAAGGAGCAAGTGAAACTTCCACACAGTACTAGTGTGGGTTGAAATAGAACTGTTTCTTTGCTAACAATCTGCGAGTTTCTTATAAAAATCATACATTTACTGTGTAACTCGTCCCACTTCAAGGTAAAGGTAAAGGCCCTCCCGTTGATCGTCGATTTGCTCGAGCGGGCCCAGTAATGTCTCCATTGGAGACTTTGTTGTTACTGTGTCTGGCATATCGAATACTCTCGGTAGCTTGCCGGGCTCTCCAAATAAAATTAAAATATACTGATGCTCATTTTCATCTATTATTTAGTAAAAAATACAAAAATTTGACAATACATTCAGCTGAAATTTTTTTTTAGGAAATTAGCTTTCTCATTTCTCATATATTGCCAATGGGAGAGGAAAATGGTACGATCCCAGAACGAGAATTATCTGACAATATCTGCAGAAATTTCAGAACCATCTGTCCTTTAACCCCACAATCTTATTTCTGTGACAATTCTATAGGAACACCTGCAGAATACACAAAACCCTGGAAACAATCTTCCATAGATACTGCTTGAATAAATATTATATCCAGACAACAGAATGTTCGCTAGACTCCTCTAAAGAATAAGGATGACCTTCTTTGGAAAGATCTTCAAAAATAAAGATACTAATAAGAGGAAATTTGAATATTCATATTGCTTACATTCGAGTTGTTTAACACTGACAGGATCAATAAAATACTAATAAAATTGCTAGCAATAAACATGCTTTGTATTAGATTGCCTACTCCCTGTCTTTTTTGGGGGGACTGACATTGTTCATAGTTATGAAAGCCATGCCTGAAAATTTCTTCTTTCCTTCCCTCTTTCTTTCCCTCATTTCTTACTTAAAGATGGCATTGTTTATCTGCAGGGGTGCGGGTGGGCAGGGAGTGTTGGAAAACAGGAAGGATACTAGTTCCTTGGATTGGGAGACAAAAAAGCTGTAGTTTTCTTGGTAACCACAGAGGTACGGAATAATAGGCCCAGGGAGTCACAGGAAATGCAAGAGCTATTGAAGGAGCCGCGGAAGAGGTCACTCAGCTTCAAGTGTCTAAGAGCAATGGAGCTTCTTGCTGTGAACATCAGAAACAGTCCCAGCTAAACACACAGGCTCTCGCTTCACCCTGCTGTGCTCTGAATCATCCTGTGCACCATTTCACTGAACCTTATGCGGAAGAGAATAGACACTGTGTGGACCGAAGCCTTCTGTTAGCACTGGACGATACCAGTGTGCCTCCAGCTGTCTACCCTACCGGCCCGGGGTGGATTCAACACAGCGCCGATTGTACTGTGTGAAATGTGACTCGCCAGAAAGTTGGAAACCAGGAAGAAAAAGTTTAAAATACCTCTTCGCTCTGTTTAATGGTCACAGTTCTTCCAGGGGAGTGATTTCCAAGTAGCTTATTCTCTTGAAATTCACAAAGCTCTCCTTTAAGTCTTTCAACCTTAAATACAAAAATTGTTTTAAATGCAAAAGTATAAGAACGGGAAGTTGCCTGTTTAAAAAGTAGTATATAATAAATATAAGTAATACATACATTATTACTGTAAAAATAATTCCCTCTACAAAAGTTTATACAACAATTTGTATTTTCTCTATAATTTTGTCAGGGGCAGGGAGATAGTAGGTCAGTTCTTACCCTAAGAGCACTGCCTGGACCCCCAAGGAGAATAAATAGGTGTGACCCTGGAGGCCCTGAGTTCTGTCAGGTCCTAGTGGTCTCCAGCACTGCAAGGCCCAAGCAGTACCGTATCCTCAGCCCTTGCACTGAATTTCCCGTCAACAGGGCTGAGTATTAACATGATGAGTGGCTCAGAAGCCCCCAGTGCACTGTTTGGAAGGCGAAAAAAAAATTTAAATAAATAAATAAAAATAATACAGGCATAGAGTTAAAAATGACATCTTGTTCATATAACTGTACAACCCCACAATCTCTTCTCCTTTTAAGGAATAACATTGGAGGGTCAGAGAGTACAATGGGTAGGACACTTGCATTTCATTTGGCTGACCAGGGTTCAATCTTGGCACCCCTTAGGGTCCTCTGAACCCCTCTCAGGAGTGATCCCTAAGCAGAGAGCCAGGAATAAGCCCTGAGCACAGATGGTTATGGGCACTGCCCTCACCCCACTCCCCAGAAAATAATACTGTGATCACTGCTTTGCGTGCAACTTATCTGGGTTCTACTACTAGTATTGCATATGGTTGCCTGAGAACAGAGTCCAGGGGTAATTCCTGAGCACATTTGGGGGTAGCCCAAACTCTCCCCACCACAAAGCCAATAAATTACTAAGGATAAATGGTCAAAAAGAGACCATTTTTTGAAATGGTTCAAAAAAGAAACACAAGTTAGGGCCTCGCGTAATCTCAAGCTTACCTAATATAATTTCTATTTGCAAATGTGTTAAAAATATATAATATTCTGCAAGCTTATTTAAAATATCATAAAATGACACGATAGAAGTAACACTGCATGCTAGGGGAAAAGGCAGCTCAGATAGAGAAGGGAGCACCAAATAAAGGTGTTGGGAGGATCCTCCCAGGATGGGAGATGCATGTTGAAAGTAGACTATAGACCAAACATGACTGCCACTCAATGCAAATCACAGCACCCAAAAGGAGAGAGAGAACAAAAGGGAATGCCCTGCCACAGAGGCAGGGTGAGATGGGGGGAAGGTATGGGGGGTGGGAGGGATACTGGGATCAGTGGTGGTGGAAAATGGGCAATGGTGGAGGGACGGGTACTCAATCATGGTATAATCGAAACCCAAGCACAAAAATTTGTAAGTCTACAACTGTACCTCATGGTGTTTCACTAATAAAATTTAAAAAAATGTAACATTGTTATTTAGCATAGGCAATTCAATTATAGACTAAGTATCAATAGAGTACCAGGTCGAAGTGGGCATCTAGGTGGGATGCTAATGTCTCCAGCAATAGTCCTGAGTAAGGACCAGTAGGTGATGTCTGGTGCTCAAGCTTGGGTTGTTATTGTATACAAACTTAATTTTGTTTTGGGGCCACACCTGGTGGTTCTCAGTGCCTACTCCTGGCTCTGTGCTCAGGGATCACTCCTGGTGGGGGCTGTGGAGCTTGGAGGAACACACGGGGTGCTGGATATTGAACCTGGGCCGGCTAAGTGCAAGGCAAACTGCCCTACTATCTATACTATCGCTCTGGCCCTGTATACATATTTCAATAAAGTCTAAGAACAAACTAAGCACTTACTACTTCTTCAAGCTCTTTCTTATCTGAGTCAAGTGATCGAACCCGATTTCGTAAAGCCAGAATTTCCTCATCCAGTCTCTGGTTATGTTCTTTTGCTTTCTGTAGGCCAGCTGAATCTAAAACAGAGAAGAACACAGTTACTTGGCTGGATCCAAGCTGCAGACTGGGGGTACTCATCTAAGAGCACGGTGCTCTTTCCTGCCCTTCCCTCCAGTCCCACCAAGTCTGCCTGTCTGTGACTCTCAGCACAGGAGAGCATCGAGTCCAGTCCAACACGCTTCCACCAATTGGGTGAAACAGAAAGCTTTTCATTTCTCATACCAGGCTTGAGATGAACTTTTTCCGTTTAGAATTTTGGGAATAGAAACTGCCCTAGGAACTGAACTTTTAAAACAGCTAAGCCCACCTTCTAAAAGTTAAATGGTGGAGAAAACGACCTTTCTGGCTTCTCTGTATTCCTGTCTCTCTCTCACACACCTCATAAACCCCGAGAAACTTCTGTTCCACTCATCAACAACAGGGTCCCCACAGATGACCCAAGCAGTGGGCTGGGAGCTCTGAATGGTCATATTTTCCAAGTTACATCAAGTCTATTAATCAAAAGCACCTTTCTGCTTGCACCACTGCCCAAAGGACGCTAGTCCCTCACAGCTGAGCACCTCGTGTTAATGAGACATGCTTTTTTCCAGCACTCGCCAAAGTCTCAATGATCCTGCTGGAATCTTCCTGAAACTGTAGCTGTTTCGCTTTAGTCATTCAAATTTCATTTCAGTCACTTAGTCACTCATTTTTCTTTGCTGCTTTAAAGACTTCTTTGTTTTCCTTCTTAGTTACCTGTTTTGTTTTTTTAAACTCTTACTACCTTTTCTTTCTCTATTGATGCCTTTTTATTTGTCTTTGTTTATTTTTGATTTGCTTATTTTGGGGTCACAGCTGGACCTTCTCAGAGGTTACTCCTGACTCTGCACTCAGGAATCACTCTCCTGGCAGACTTGGGGGACCATATGGGATGCCGAGGAACAAATCTGGGTGCCCTACTCATTGTACTGTCACTCCAGAACCTTCTATAAATTTTTTAAATTAGAAAAATTCTGAAGAGACCAAAAATAAAACATTCACAATCCCACATGTAGGTATACATAAACATTGTCTCTACATAGGTAGGAATTCTTCTCCTCTGTGCGCGCGCGCGTGTGTGTATGTGTGTGTGTGTGTATGTGTGTGTGTGTGTGTGTGTGTGTGTGTTGTTGCTGTTGTTCCCTGATCTGCACCCCGAGCCTCTGGGGTTGGCTCTATCCACCCAAGACTCTGAATATGGCCTAAAAAAATCACTAAATGCATCATTATCTAACAGAAAAATTGGTTTCATGAACTGTTTTGCTAAAAGTTGCATTTTATCACCTCACCTCTGTGAGAATGGCCCATATAAAAAACTAGAAATAGGAGCTAGAGAGATAGCACAGCAGGCGGGGTCTTGCACACAGCAGACCCGGGTTTGATTCCTGCCACCACCTATTATCCCCAAGACCACCAGGAGCGATCCCTGAATGCAGAACATGGAATGAGCCTTGAGCAAAGCCAGGCATACTCCCCCAAACAAGAAAACACCAAAAACCTAGACATGACAAGTGTTGACAAGAATGTAGAGAAAAAAGAACCCTCATACACTGTTGGGGGTAATATAAGTTGATATGGTCATGGCAAACAGCATGGCAAATATTAAAAATTAAAATTCTATAGGATGCAGCAATTCCATTTCTAGGAATTTATCCAGAGCATATGAAAACAGTAATTTGAAAGGATATAAGCATACCTGTGTTTGTAGTACAGTTCACAACAGTCAAGCAATGGAAACAACCTAAATGCCCATAAATAGTTGATTAGATAATGATGCAGTACCAATATTCACTGGTTTATTTACTCAGCCATTAAAAAAAAGATGAAATCTTGTCATTTGGATAAAATGGAAGGAACTTGAGAAGTGAAATAAGTCAGAAAGAGAAAGTCAAATGATTTGACTCAAAGATGAGATGTAAACAAAATAAATGAACAATATGCTACCCAAAAATGCTCTTAGGTACTGAGAACAAAATGGCAGTCACCAGAGGGGAAGTGTGAGGGGTGCAGGAGCCATGGGGAGAGAGAGGTAAATTTGGTCGTGGTGAATGATACTAGAGCTTTGGTGGTGAATGTGGTATACTATATACATTTATGGAGGTCTACAGCTGTATTCCTAAATATTATACAGAACTGTGTAGCAATGATCAACTTTTAAACAAAGAGTAATTTTTATATTAAGGACATTGAGGACTTATTGTATATATATGTATATATCTATCTATATATATACTATATACATATAAATATATATATGAGCTGGAGCAATAGCACAGCAGGTAGGGCGTTTGCCTTGCATGTGGCTGACCTGGGTTCGATTCCTCTGTCCCTCTCGGAGTGTCCGGCAAGCTACTGAGAGTATCCTGTCCGCACAGCAGAGCCTGGCAAGCTCCCCATGGTGTATTTAATATACCAAAAATAGTAACAACAAGTCTCACAATAGAGATGTTACTGGTGCCCGCTCGAGCAAATCGATGAACAATGGGAGGGCAGTGCTACAGTGCTATATATATATATTTTTTTTACATATATAGATTTTTATATGTATATATACTATAGAGATTTATCTTTGTCCATGAAAAGTTTTGATAAAATTTTATTAAATGAATACATTTATTTGGTTTTTGGGCCACACCCTGTGGCGCTCAGAGCTTATTCCTATCTCTGTGCTCAGGGATCATTCCTGGCAAGTTCAGGGGACTTGGGATGCTGGGAATCATACCCAGGTCATCCATATTCAAGGCTGGCACCCTACTCACTGTACTATCTTTTCGTCCTGAAATTTTAAAAATTAAAAGTGTGTGTGTGTGTGTGTGTGTGTGTGTGTGTAGGGGGACAGGGGGTTGCGGGTATCCCTGGGACAATGATGGAGGGAAGCAGACACTCTTATGGGGAAGGGTGTGTGGCATTGGAATACTGTATTCAGAAAACCCTATCACTGAAAGTTAGTCTAAAAAATTGTAAAACATGATATTAAATATTTTTTAAAAAGTAATTAAAAAGAATCAGATGCGATGCAAGGACCACTTGCATTGCATGTGACCAAACCAGGTGTGATCTGCAGCACCACGTACAGTCCAGAGAACTGGCAGGAGTGATCCCTAGGAGTAAGCAAGCCCTGAGCACAGTCAGGTGTGGTCCCAATACAAAGATTAGAGAGGGAGAGAGACACAGAGAGAGAGAGAGAGAGAGAGACAGACAGACAGACAGATAGACAGAGACAGAGAGAAACAGACAGACAGACAGAGACAGACAGATAGACAGAGACGGAGAGAGAGACAGAGAGAGAAAGAGAGTACGCTATACATAACTTACAACTTTGAGAATGTATTATTTTCATAAGAGACACAACCTGACAGTTTGGGGGCTGGGGACTGTGATACAGTGCTCAGGCCCTCACCCAGAGGCCATGGAGATAACACCCTGAAGGGAAGGGCTCTAGTGGTTACATGGCGGTGCAGGGGATCAACTCAGTGACTCACACACTCAAGGACTCTACTACTTCAGCTATCTCCCAAGCCCCTATTAAGGATTTTTCATGGGGCAATCCTTGTAAATCCCTTTTGCATTTCTTATTTGGAATGGTTTTTAAATTAAGGGATAACTTATGTATAATGTAACATATATTTCTAGGGTTGTTTAGTAACACTGGTAAAAGGTAAAAAGGTAAAGGCCCTCCCGTTGATCGTCGATTTGCTCGAGCAGGCCCAGTAACGTCTCCATTGGAGACTTTGTTGTTACTGTGTCTGGCATATCGAATACTCTCGGTAGCTTGCCGGGCTCTCCGAGAGGGGCGGAGGAATCGAACTCGGGTCGGCCATGTTGGCCGCTTGTAAGGCGAACGCCCTACCGCTGTGCTATCGCTCCAGCCCAAATAAATATAAATCCACTCCCCCCAAAAGATATAGAGTATTTCCATTCCCTCACATAATTTCCACTCAGATCTCTGCTCCCACCCATATCCATGACCATTTTCTGACTTCTATCATCATAGATTATTATTTATTTATTCTTTGTTTTCATAGAAATGGAATCTAACATTACATATTTTTTGTATGTGTCAGGTATTTCATTCAATATGTATTTTGAGACTTCATCTGTGTTACATCAATAATTTTTCCTGCTCTTTATTCCATATTATTAATAAATGCAATAAATAATAATGCATTTAGGTTCATTAGAACCTAAAGATTGATGAACAGTGAGGCTGGAAAGATAGCACAGTGGGTAGAGTACTTGCTTGCATGCAGTCAACCTGGGTTTGATTCTGGCACCCATATGGTGAGGTGCCCTGAGTACTACCAGAAGTTAGTAATTTCTGAGTGCAGAGCTAGGAGTAAGCCTTTAGTATAGTCAGGTGCACCCCCAACCACCCCAAATAAATAAAAGAAGAAAAAAACTAATTGTGGAATTATTTAAGACAAGTAAACATATTTCAAATTATCTATATAAATTAAAATTATATCAAATTTTATTATAGTATTGATAGATGACACTCTTCCTTTAAAAATTTTTTTTATTGAATCACCATGAGATACAGTTACAAAGCTTTCATGATTGACTTTCAGTCATAGAATGATCAAACACCCATCCCTCTGCCAGTGTGCATTTCCACCACCAATGTCCCCAGCAGCCCTCTCCCACCCCTACCCCATCCCACCCCCTGCCTCTATGGCAGGCACCTTCCTTCTTACTCTCTACTTTTGAGCTTTGTGGTTTACAATACAGATACTGAGAGGCCATCATGTTTGGTCCTTGTCTACTTTCAGCACACATATCCCATCCCAGATATCCCTCCAACCATCACTGACTTAGTGGTCCCGTCTCCATCCCAACTGCCTTCTCCCCCAGCACATGGGGAGGCTTCCAAACCGTGGAGCAATCCTTCTGGCCCTTGTCTCTACTGTGCTTGGGTTTAGTCTCATATTATTTTATATTCCACAAATGAGTGCAGTCATTCTATGTCTGTTCCTCTCTTTCTGACTCATTTCACTTAGCATACTCTCCATAAAGATGACACTATTTTTACATAGTTAGGCAGGCTCAAATGAATACATTCATCACTGATTCCCCAAACACTGGTTTCTAAATAAACACGTGTGAGATACTAATAATGCATGTGTGAGAAGTTAATGCACTAGAGTGACTTGGTTTCAGTGTCCAAGTCAAGTATGCATTTTATGCATTGAAAATATGTATAATCAGATACGTATAAACTTAAATATCTCTAATAATTTTTTGCAGGGGGAGGAGTGGGATTTGGGCCAAACCTTCAAAGCTTAGGGCTTACACCTGGATAGACACTCAGAGATTACTCCTGGTGGGGCTTATGGGCCAGGGATCAAATCTGGGTTGGCACATGCAAGGCAGGAGCTCTACCAGCTGTACTATCTCTCCAGCCCTCCAGCTCTAACCTAAGTGTGGCTATTTGATAACTCACTCAACCTTGCCATGATTCCATTTCTTTATTGATAAATAGGAATAATCCTCATTATTTAGAATTGCCATGAGGAGTAGAGTTAATGCTTGTAATGTTCCTGACAGGTTGCCTGTCACTTAGCATGTAGTAAGTGGCAGTAGCAGTAATAGCAGTAGAAACAGTAATGAAAATGCCTTTGTTATTATTGCAAAATAATATTAAAAACCTGTTATGACATGGTATCATATCATATTATTTAATATATTAATTATTGTTTCTGCTAGAATGACTCACCTTTTTCTTTCAGTTTTATCAAATTTTCCTTCAGTTTTTCAATTTCTAGTCGAGATGTCTCAAGTGCTGAATCTAAAACAATATTTGTGCATGGAAGAAACGATTAGTATAGTGATCAAATTTCAAGTAACTCAGTTGTGTTTTATTTTGGGGAGAAAACAGGGGCTACACCTGGCCCTGTGCTCAAAGATCACTCCTGGAAGTGATCAGATGCAGCGTCAGGATTCAAACCTGGGTTGTAGTAGCTGCAATTGTATCCTAGGCAAGCACCTTAACTTTTGCACTATCTCTCTGGTGATGATTCTGTATTGGGAACACTCCCTGCCAGGTGTCCTTCTGAGTGTCTGTAAGTATCACCTCCTCCAGTAAGCATTCCCAGACTCCCTTCTTAGACGTCATGTTACACCAATATTTATCCAATCCCTGATCATCTGAGCTCATCTCAGATGAGCTTCCCTAACTGCATCCTTTACCAGAGTCAATGCTGAGGAGTCTGCACCACTTGAAATGATACAGACAACTTAAGTTTTTTTTTTAATATTTTTTGGGTCACACCCAGCGATGCACAGGGGTTACTCCTGGCTCTTGCACTTAGGAATTACTCCTGGCAGTGCTTGGGGGACCATACGGGATGCTGGGAATTGAACTTGGGCAAATGCCCTACCCGCTGTGCTATTGTTCCAGCCCCCAACTTAAGTTTTTAAACATGATGCTAATTCAAGTACCTTTATTTTTTAAAAATGACATCCAGAAACACACAAAATTAATGCGTGCAATGAATAATGTTTAAAATGTTACCAATAGTTTCTAGGAATATTAAAGTGATAAAAGTTCAGGAAGTAACTTTTAGTATACTATCAAGAATTATTTAAAGGCAGACAATCTAGGAAGAAAAAAAACCACAGGGCATAAAGTCACTAGGGTTTGAGTTCTCCAAATCAGGCTTATGGCTTTGCCTCCTTGGGTCTCTCACCACCAGTGAAATGTCAGAAGGAAAAAGCTCCCATAGGTAAGAGACGAATATGAATGTTAATGAGATGATTCCTGGAGCGCATGTCTCATTATTACTCCCATAGACTCAATTCTGTAAGTAAATCCCAGTGAAAAATGACTAGATTTGCCTGAAACTGTACTCCTATTACAAGAGCTAACTGCACCTAATATGTGCTCTGACATGTGCGTCTGGAAGCACAGCTTACCTAATTTACTCTGTTCTTTCTCCTTCTCTTGGAGTTCATCAGTGAGTCTTTGGATCTCTTCATGAGCTACTGTTAACCTTTGTACTACTTGTTGCACATGTCTTTGTGATGATTCATCTTTCCCCAAGTCTTCATTATGGGACTGAAACAGAACTATTGTTAATGAGAAAACAAACAGTAGATCTATCTTATGATATTGTACTATCTGGTAAGTGCTTAAGAGTACCACAAGTGTAGTATAAGTGTTTAAGAGTCAAGGAAGGAAAGTAGCAAACAGAGTGTTTCATTTAAGTAAATTTTTATTAGGTCAAACCATATACAATTTGTAATATTTCACTGTTCTTGAATATATAATTTCATGTGGTTCAACCTAAATATTTAGGGGACTATGGTTATAAAAATATTAATCAAATCACAAGGATGAGTATCATTTGGCAAAGAAAACACTTCTTGTTTATATGAAACATTAAGTACAGTTCGGCAGAGCCTGGCAAGCCATCCGTGACATATTCAATATGCCAAACACAGTAACAACAAGTTTAATGATGGAGACGTTACTGGGCCTGCTTGAGCAAATCGATGAACAACGGGAGGACAGTGATCCATAATAAGTACAGTTTATAAAGTGCATTCACATAAAATATTTAATTTAATTTCAAGGTATGCACAGACTTAACCACCATACTTAAGTTTCTTTTCAACATTTATTTTCACAGCATTATTTTTTTTGGTGTAGGGCACACCCAGAAATATACAGGGGTGACTCCTACTCTGCACTCAGGAATCATACCTGGCAGTGCTCAAGGGACTGTATGGAATGCTGGGGATCAAACCCAGGTTGGCCATGTGCAGGGCAAATGTCCTGGCTGCTGTACCATCACTCCAGCCCCCAGTGGCTTTTTTCCTTCTTCCACTCCTTGCAATTTATCAAATCCTTACAGGAAATTCATCAAAGAAAGGAAGATTTAAAAAAAAAGAAGTAGTTCTAATTTATTAGGGGAACAATGAACAAGAAACATCTTTAAATAGAGGGTAGAAAAAGAAAAACTTGAGAAAATAACAAATTTAAAAATTAAAACAATCTTTTACTGTGTCTGGCATATCGAATACCCTCGGTAGCTTGCCGGGCTCTCCGAGAGGGGCGGAGGAATCGAACTCGGGTCGGCCATGTTGGCGCTTGTAAGGCGAACGCCCTACCGCTGTGCTATCGCTCCAGCCCCAAAACAATCTTTTAAAACAATCTTTTAAAATACAGTTAAAATTTCCCCAATTCTGAACTTTAGATACAATTGATACCATGAGAAACCAGACATAGGCTTTGCTTATTAACATTCAGTGAGAAAGCCACTACTGGGGGGTGGAGTGTGGCTCAAAGTAGAGTTTATGACTCGAACGTGTGAGGCCCAAATTCCATCTCCAGGGTCGAAATAAAAAAGCAAATGATGAAGCGATTGTGATACAGGGCACTGCCCTGACAAAAAAGGAACAAGGCAACTTTGTGACAGAGGTGTTGCCTCTTTGGGCTGATAAACAGGAAGGACACCTGGATAATCTCTATTTCTAAAGACTGAAGGAACGGGCTTAATTTAAAATGTGTTGGCAGAGGCTGCTCATGATTGTTGAACTAAAGGATTTGGCATGAGAACACAAACTTATTTTTCATTCAGTACTGCTTAATTTTTTATGATGAGCTTGTATTAAATTAAAAACACCAACAAAATAAAAACAAATGCTAAGTAAGATGTAATTTACCTATAAAACAGTACTTACAAAATTCTGTGGGCTTCTAAGTCTTCACATATAGTTCTATTTGGTGGATTGACTCACATCTACTTTATGGATAGGTTAATTAAACACTAGTCTATACAAAATATATCTAGGGTGACAAGAGTTTGTTTTTGTTTTTTTTTTTGAAAGTTGCACTTCAAGATCATCTTTAGAAAATTTTCTAAGTAAAATCAACATATAAATGATGTTACAGTATATATATTTTTAATTTTATTTTTATTAAGTTGTTCACAATAATTTATTCCATTCAATATTCCAACACCAATCCCACACCATTACACCTCCCCACCATCATTATTTCCAATGTTTCTAACCACCACCCAAGCATGCTCCAACAGGAGGCCCTATATAATTTATTTTGTATTGCTTGTTATGAATAATCTGCAAAAAATTGTCAAAAAAGGTTTCCTTAGAAGAAAGTGTGTGAAGACTGTTGTATCTCACTCTGGAGCCATTGAGCCATCGTATAAGAGACTACTAACATGTTGTACAGGTTGAATCTTGTGTGCTAATATCTTTTTAATTGAGATTGGTTGCTTTCTACTTTACATCCTATCCAATCTGTGCTACTCCTGGTACATCAGTGGTATAGAGTATGAGATGTCATGTGGCCACAAATGCAGCCATGTGCTACAGAAATTCTAAAATTTTAAATAGCATGATACAGCTAGACTTAAATTTTTAAGTGGATGGTGCCTTTGGGCCTTGAGGCATCTCTGCAGCTTGCTGATTTCTTCTGAGATTTATCTGTGAGTCTCTGGAATACAGCCGTTAATGAGCTTATATGGTGACAGAGGCAGTTCATGGGCATGACTGCCAGGCTCTGGGGAGAACAGGGTGGGAGGGGGGAGGCATGGATGGAGGTTGCCCATCCCTGACTCTGTGGGAGCCAGGAGATTTCAGTCCCACATGCCTGCGTATTTTTTATGCAAATATCACGACCATCCTGTTATTCGTCGATTGCCTCAAGCAGGCCCCAGTAATGTCTCCTTCATCCTAGCCCTGAGATTTTTAAGAAAGTGCTATATTCAAGGCTCTTTAGGAGAATGAGACCCATCATTGTTACTGGTATTTGGCATATTGGGTACGCCGCGGGGAGTTTGCCAGGCTCTGCCGTAATATCATCATCATTCCCCAAAAAGAAAAACACAACTGTACATCAAATGGGGAGCAGCTACATAAACTACACGATCTATATTACAAACATGTAACACTACACAGAACAACTCAAAAACTAAGTGATGCTAAACAGAGGATAAGGAGAAAACTCAGGTCGCCGCAGGTGATAGATTGCTAGCTGGCTCAAAGAGAATGCCCTGAAAGCATGAAGACCTGACTTCAATCCCTGATACCACCAACCTGCACCTAGCCAACCAACTCTGCTGTCCGGGAACTCCCAGAGCTTCAGGGCAGCACCACAATGGAGCAGCCACCACCACCTCAACAGAGACAAGGCAATGACAGAGGGGAGAAGGCAAGGGGGAAAAAGTTCAATTTAGGGAAAGCCTTTGAGTAGTGGTAAATGTTATGTCATGCTCTGAAGAATACTGTGAATTATAAGTGACAACTGTAGGTAATTAACATTATTAAGTTCAGTGTGTAAAAAATATTGCCTAGCATTATCTCACTTTTTACTGCCATCCTATGGATAATTCCATTATATAAAGAGAATCTGAGCTTCAATAAGTCAAGTAACTTGCAGAAAATGACATTTAAATGGCAGCGCCAGAATTCAATGTCTGATCTTTCTAATTCCAAAACTAATACTTCTCTGCCACTCACCTATGCATTTAACAATTCAAATCAGAATAAAAAGTCTCCTTCATCCTAGCCCAGAATAAAAAGAAAAAGATTTTGTAGGTTTTCAGCTTTCTCTTAAAATGTGCATTTACTTCTAATTAAATTAATTAATGGAGTGATAGTACAGTGGGTAGGGCATTTGCTTTGCATGTGGCCGATCTGGGTTCGATCCCCAGTATCCCACATGGTCTTCTGAGCACCATCAGGAGTAATTTCCTGAGTGCAGAGCCAGGAGTAACCCGTGAGCACTGCTGGGTGTGTCCCAAAAAGCTAAAAAAAAAAGGTTATGAAAGGTTTGTTTCCAGTTGTTCTAAAATATTAATATGCTAGGAAAGATCATTTATGACCCACTGTAACTTTCTTTTACCCCAACATTATTTCTCTATTACCCAGCTGCATAAGAGGTAATTCACAGCAAAGAATCCCATTACACTAGAAATGCAAATATAATCCATAAGATTATCACCATAATCAAGATGATGTGAAAACCTACCATCCCTGGGTTTCCTGTGTGTCCTCACTGTCCCTTTCTTTTCCTAGTAATGACCTCAAGAACTATAAATCTATTTCTACAACATATATAAATTTTCATCTTTTACTTTAAATGCAATCACAGGCTATATGTGCTTTCTTTGCCTGGGTTATTTTACTCAATATTATTTTGAAGTTTATCCATTTTTGCTGCATGCCATTCATTTTAATTACTAAGCAGCATTCAACCATATGGATCTACACCTTCTCCCACTGAACATTTGAGTGGTCTCAACTTTGGAAATATTACAATTAAGGTTGGTATGACATGTTAAGGTTTTTTTTTGGGGGGGGGAGAGGGATCATATCCAGTGATGCTCAGAAGTTAGTTCTGGCTTCTGGACTCAGGAATCACTCCTGGTGGTGCTCGGAGATCATATGGGATGCGGGGATCGAACCCAGATCCTCTACAAACACCCGACCCTCTGTATATCAACTCGCCTGCCCCATATTAAGTCTTATTATGGATATGTTTACATTTCTCTTGGGCAAACAAGAAGAAGTGCAACGGCAGGGTTTCACAAGAGATGTAGGTTTAACTTTTTGAGAACATGCCAAACAGGACTGGAGCACAGGCTTTGCATTTCCAAGGTCTGGGTTCAATTCCTCAGCTACGCATGGCTCCCTGAGCTCTGCCAAGAGTGACACCTCTCCCACCCTCCATCAGTACTGCCTGATGAGAAGGAAAAAAAAGAATTCTGTATCTGCTAATTTCCCAACCAACTAGACCAGATCTATTTCATCCAGTTCACAAATACAGTGGGTTTCCCTACCTGCCAGCCCAAGGAATTTTTCAAAGAAGCAAATCACATTCTCTCGGGGACACGGAGGCTCCCTCTCACTCCTGTTACTACCCAACCTACTTCGCACATATCTAGTGAGTTCACACTCCTCCTGTGTGCAACCCCTCGAGCCCCCATGTGGCAGGCAATGTTCTCGCCTGTTAGTGAGTTTCAAGGATGAGAACAGTCGAGCAATATCATCTCCCTCCAAGACCATATTCAGCTATCTCAGGGTATTCAG